AAAGGAGAGGAGAGAAAAGAGAGAGAGGGGAAAGGAGAGGAGAGGAGAGAAAAGAGAGGGGAGAGGAGAGAAAAGAGAGAGAGGGGAGAGGAGAGAAAAGAGAGAGAGGGGAGAGGAGAGGCGAGGAGAGGAGAGGAGAGAGAGAGAGAATCATAAAAAAAAATGGATTGAGCTGAAGGCTGAAACCCTAGGTAGGGGAGTTACGCAACATTGGCCTCAGTCCCTGTCTCCGAAGCCCCCCCATGACAACAGCAGGCATGGGACTGGGGGGTATGTTTATGATTGTCTTCAAAATAATTACTTTTATTGTTTTACAGAGGATAAACAAAATATTATTAAGATTCTATCCTTTATGTATAAAACCATACAAATATAATAAAACTGTCATATATATTAAATACATATTTACATTTCTCTTCAAATAAATGTATCACACTCTTTATAAAATCACATCAATATTAAGTAAAACTATCAATATTAATCATCTGTGCATTATGAGCAGAAGCCAAATGTTGCTTTAGATGTTCTTTGTTTGTAACAATTACACCACATGCCTCTTGAGGGCAAGCATAAAGGATAGCTTCACTGATTATATCATTCCCATCTAGTATGTGGCCAGACGACAGTGAATTTGGATGAGCTTCTGCTATGTGTTGAGCAAGTGTTCCCTGATCTTCAAACATTTCTCCACAAGTCTCACATCCAGTACTTTCATCAACAATTGCAAAAATACTAGTAACAACTTCCTGGTCACTGGCAGAGTCAAGGTTACCAGTAATTATATTAATGCCACTGCTACACATCTCAATGTGTGATAGGAACTCTTCTCGTGATGTGAAGGTAGTTGAACAATTGCTACATTTTCTGCATGAATTAAGGTGGTTCATGAATTCCTCTTGACTTGTGAAATGAGCAGCTCCACAGTCACTACATTTTGTTCTGTGTTTCATCATGTGATCTTTCCAGTTTTCGGGACTAACAATTTCCTTACAATATTTACAGATATTCTTTAATGGATCCTCTTTTCTTCTAACCTTTGCCATGTGCTCACGCAAGCACATGATATTTTTGAATATCCTGTTACAGTGATCACAAGTCACAGCAGAACCACCATGTTTACGATTTTTATGAGCAGGCAAAGATGCTTTTGTAACTATCATATTGCAAATATCACATGTTACATATTCGTTCTCTAGATGGGTATATTTAATATGCCTAGGCAAATTCAGTACCCATTTTCCACAAATTTTGCATTGTTCTCTCACTCTTTCGTCTTTGGACAGATACTGTGACACATCATTGTTTTCAATCATATACTTCTTGTAGAGCCCCTTCCCACAGACTAAACAGGTCTTGTGGTGCCCAGGATCGGTCTCTCCGACCAGCTGTAAGTCAGTGGGACTTTTAATATCTCCGCAATTATTACACTTCAAATCCTTGCTCCTTCCAAGTATACCCCCATGCTGATGTCTCTCCAGGTGCAACTCAAAGCTTTTCTTATCATTAAAATTCTTATCACATATCTCACAATGAAACTTTGGTGCATAAACATGTGATTTAACATGCTTCTCATAGCTATATCTAATGTAGTATTGCTTTGGGCAATAGGGACACTCATACACTTCATCTTTGGTATGTAAAGGTATGTGGTTTTTTAGATTTACCAGACTTTTAAATACTTTTCCACATTGCTCACAGCAAAACTTTTGATTTGGATTGTGTTCTTTCATGTGCCGTTCTAGAGCTGTTAAAAATCCAAAGTTCTTCCCACAAGTTGCACATTTGAACTTCATCCACTCTGTCTCTTCATGATATCTTTTGATGTGCGTTTGAAGATTGACTCGATTTTGGTACTGCTTTCCACAGAATTTGCATTCATGAACTGTTTCATGTGTATGGTCCTCAAGCTCTGTCCTTGAAGGGAAATCCTCATTACATACTGAACAGTGAAAATTCTTCTCTTTGTCTGTGTCATCAGCCATTACTGCTGACATTTCATTATTAGTATTATCATCCATTTTAAGTAAAGAACTTGAAGCACTACCATCAGCATTGCAGATCTTGTGCCGTCTTCTCTTGACTGTATTTCTTTTTCCCTCCTCTTTGTTTATATGCTTCTGTGCATGTTTTTCGCATTCTTCCTTTGTGCTGAATTTCTTGCAACACTCAACACATTCAAATCCATCCTCTGTTTCATAGGATGCTGACTCATTTAAGTCACTGCTTTCAACAATCTGGTCAGTGGTTGGCATACTAAGCCCCTCTTCTACCACATCCATAATGTCACAGTCATCAATGTTTTCTTCTTTAACTGTCAACATATCTGGAAATTCTTTCTTCTCACCACTACGAGTTCTATTTGTCTCTATCCCAGAAGAGATGTTTTCCTGTTTGTCAACTCCTTCTCCTTGTGACTTCCGTTTTCTTCCTCTTTTTCCTTTTGTTACAGGCACTGTAGCGGCTTCTGTCCAGTCTTTTTGGTTACTGGGATCTTCTGTGTCCAGCTGATCTCTGCCTGGCATATCGTAATACTTGAATGTCCCATCTTCTTTCTTGATCTTAATTGTTCTTCCTGAACGGGTCTTTGTCACATTTGGTATTGCTGCTGCTGCCTCTTCATCCTCATCCTCTGAGAAAAGCGGTGGATCAGCTAAGGCTTCCAAAGCTTCTTCATCCTCCTCCTCTGCATACTCTATTTCCACAGTTACTTTCTCCTTCTCAATTTTACTTGGTGTATCATTATTGCTATCTTTGTTCTTTTTGGGTCTCCCTCTTCGCTTTTTGAGAGGAGTGTCTACCATGCTTACATTTTGCATAACATATTTATCAGTTGATTTTGAAAGGGCTTTCCTATAGTCCATGATGAATGTGTTTGGGTCTGGGATTTCTATTTTGCTCTTGTATGCTGCTCTCAACTGAGAATTGTACTTCCGTTTACTGCTAAGGTCTTGAGAGTAGATGGTATGACTATTGTTGTCAAGGGCCATCACTAGCTCTCTATTAAACCTGAAATCATAGGAGGAGGATCAGCCTAATGACCTAATATACAAATAGTAAAACTCAAATTGCTGATGGATGGTTATCCCATTACTAACACATGTAAAAGAAAGATTATGAAAAAAAAAAAAAAAATCATAAAAATATAGCATTTTTAAGTTAAAATATAGAAAAAAGTAAAGATGTAATAAAATATGTCTCAAAATCATCTCCAAACAGCTGATTATTGTACTGATATGTATATTCTATGTCATTGGGAATATCAGAAAAATGACATAAGACTTTGCCTAAAAATGCTAGATTTAGATGTTTCTCGCAGAACAGGTACATGCTCTGAAATTATTACAACAAAATAACTTCTTATGGAACAAAGAGGTAAGAACACAATTTAAGAGTTTAGAAACTACCGGACATTGATTATTTAATTCAAACATTGATATTGAAATGTTAAATGTAGCCAATGTTGCTCACTTGCTACATCTCTTTCCTAATCCTTAATCATATATGCATTCATTCACTGTAAAAACATCTTGTTACTCTGCTCCAAAATCACTTTATCAACAATAACTCAAAATACTATGATAAAAAAAGCTTTGGGGTTTCCAACAGGCAAGAATAAGAGTAAAGCACAGAAACTGTTGTGTAAAAATTAAAATGAAGAATCAATGGTCTGCCAATAAAGATATGTTATATGTATTTCAGTACACTTGATCATATTATTTATAGATGATTTTTCACCAGAAAACAGTAATATTACAACTGTTGATAAATGTAAATATCTTATTTCACCATTTTTTTTTTACAATGGCACTCACCTTCTGAGGGATTAACTGGTCAATAATGATGGGATAAGTCTCATTTCATACAGAGAAGTTGTAGTCTTGGAATGTCTAAGCAGATATCTCAACGTCTGTGAAAAATGTGTTTGAAATACACACTATTTTCACAGATAGGCAAAACTTTGAACAACTATAGCTTGAAAACATAATTGAAATTGTGACTAATTCTTTTCTGAATAAAGTGAGACCTGTTCCATCATTACTGGTTAATCACTGTAAAAATAAGTAATACCACAGATATAAGTTTAAAAAGTAGAATAAAATCTTCATAAAAAAGCATGAGCTGGTATATCCTTAAATTTTGATTCTAACCAAGAAAGAGCATAAAGAGATCTTTACAGTAAAATATAACACCTTTCCTACCAAAGGAATATACTCA